AATGGGCAGAAGACATGAATAGACACTTCACCAAGGAGGATATTCAAGTGGCCAACAAACATATGAAGAAATGCTCACAATCACTAGCTACTAGAGAGATGCAAATCAAAACAACAATGAGATACCATCTTGCTCTAGCAGTAGTAGCAAAGTTCAAGGAGACAGAAAATAACAAATGCTGGTGAGGATGTGGAGAGATTGGGACTCTCATACACTGCTGGTGGCACTGTAAAATGGTACAACCATTGTAGAAAGCACTATGGCGATTCCTTCAAAAGTTGGAACTAGAAGTACCATTTGACCCAGCCATCCCATTACTAGGTATATACCCTAAAGAAGTGAGAGCCATGACAAGAACAGACATATGCACACCCCTGTTCATCACAGCACTATTTACAATAGCCAAAAGATGGAAACAACCTAGGTGTCCATCAACTGAGGAACGGATATCCAAACTATGGTACATACACACAATGGAATACTATGCAACCCTAAATAATAATGTAGAATCTGCGAAACACTGCATAACGTGGATGAACTTGGAGGACATTATGCTGAGTGAAATAAGTCAATCACAAAAGGACAAATATGGTATTAGTCCGTTACTGTTATTGTCAAGGAAACATTTATCTATGGAAGACCATTTTCTTGGTTACCAGGGGTGGGAGGGGAGGGGAGGAAATACCGTTAGATAGATAGAGATAAGTTTTGATTTGGGTGTAGAAAAGGGCAATGTACCAAGTGTGTGTGATCAATATAGTGGCATTGAGGAAGAGAAAGACATAGAGAGGTATGTGGGAAATACAGACAACAAAGATGAACCCTTTTGTGCATACAGTATGACGTGGTCAGTGAAGGCAAACATGGGTATATGGGTGGATAGACGAGTGGACAGGCTGAAATATTAGGTATGTATATGAAGCGGAGAGTACACTCAAGAACATGTATAGGGTTGGCAGACAATGGTCCAATAACTTTATGTGTATGATCTGAATTTCCAGGTGTATAATGGGGCTGACAAGGGGCAAGGTTGTAGTCACTGCTTGGTCACAGCCAGCTACCCAGAGGGATTGAGTAGTTGAACCTGTGGGCTTGGGACCACAGTCACTGAGGACATCAAGCTCAATTGGCATAACATACTACACAAAACATTGTTCCACCTCCTACTGTGCCAAGTAGGGACTGAGATCTTAAAAGCTTGCAAGCTGCCACCTAGATGCAACAAGGGGTCTCTCCTCGTCCAGAGCCAAGAATGAAGAAAACCAAAAATTCATGGAAACAATTAGTCCTAGCAACTGATACACCATCCAATCTGCAGCCTATACAACTATGAGACCAGAAGAAATAGATGGTGCTTGGCTACTACTGTCAACCACTTAGAAGAGGATCTTTGTAGGAGATCCTGGAAAGACAGGGAGAACAATGTGGAACAAAACTCAAAATCATTTGGAAAAAAAAAGAAAGGAACAGGTTTGCTGGCCCGATGGAGGCTGGTGGAACCACTAAGACCATGGCCCCTAGCTGCCCTTCAGGGCTGGAATTGAACGCACACCTGTGGCTTCCAGCCAAACAATAGACAGGCATATCAGTTGAGCATTTACCTGAGGTAGATACACTCCTTGGAGAGAACAAGCATGAGAGAAAGAAGGGCTGCTCAGGCACAGGGAGACAGCTCAGGGGGTAGGAGTACATGGAGAGATGGACATAGGGAAGAGATAACTATCAGGAGGAAGTGGGAGGGGAGATGTTGCACTGTGCTAAATTGTGGTCAATGTCATGAGACAAAGTGTATGTGAACTGCTGTATGGTAAGTGTATCTGCTCTGTAAATTTTCACCCAAATCACAAAAAAAAAGGAAGAAAGAAACATATGGCCACCCCCAAGTCACAAATGTAGTCTATATTTCCCTCTAAAATGCTTTACATTCTAGCTACATTTAGGTCTAGGACCTATTTCAAATTCATTTTTGTGCATGTTATGTGGTAAAGGATCAAGGTTCATTTTTTTCCACATGGATATTCAGTTATTCTCACTCTAATTTTTCAAAACATTTTCCTTCCTTGTTGGATCACTTTGTCACCATTGTTGAAAATCAAGTGACTATTCAAACGCAGATCTACTTCTGGGCTCTCTCTTCCATGCCATTCATTTGTTTGTCAGTCCTTACGCCAGTCCCACACTGTCCTGATTACTGGATACTGCTTACTCTTAAGGATTAGATACTCCTTGAATTGCTTTACAAAATTTAAGCCTCTATATAAAAGGCATGTAAGTTGCATATGTACCTCAAATAATCCTTAGGAAAGCATTTTTAAGAACTGAATATGGCTTTGAAAATACTCCATAATTACTACTGTATCTAGTAAAATTAATTTTCTCCAAATAACTGAAAAACTAAAAATTCTTCATGATCTTCAGTTGAAGTTATGTAAACTTGGAAGACATTTCATTAATTTTTCTAGTCTATTTCCCAAAGGTTCTTGCACTTTATTTCTGTCATTTAACACCACCACAATGTAGTAAGCTTTAAAACAACCCTTAATTCTTGTTATGAAACTGGAAGCTTAGTGAGTACACATTCTCTCTATATGTTTAAGTTTTGTCATAGTAAAACGTTAAAAAGTCGTAACTTCTGAAACATGCTTGGTACACAAAGAGGACAATTTTCTTTATGAAAAGAAGTTTTATAAAATTTCCTTTAACATTTGACTTGGAAAAGAAAATTAGAAGCAAAAGTATAATATAAAACAAAACAAAAATAGACGTAAGTCTCAAAAGCAGTAATAAACTCTATTGTGGGCAAACAATACAAGAGTTTTAGAAACTGTTGGACTGTCCTAATTTTGTTCAAACTAAGACAAAATGATTCCCTCCTCCTTTTTCAAAGCAGATAGTGTGAATTGTCACACCTACAAATATTATTATTTATAAAGATACAGTTTAACAGCTTGCAAGATGTTGCCAAACTGAGAATAACACTAAAAATCTTTAAGATTTAAAATTTGTTCCTAACTTGAAATTTTACTTTGAAGCATGATAGTCCATAAATAATTCTATAATAAATAAATAAATAAATAAATAACCCCAAACACATTAAATTTGCTAAAATAAAACCAGGATGTTTATTACCTTTTTTTTTTTTTTTTTAAATTGTGAAAATCACTAGAAATTGTGTCTTTTGTCCTTTTCAAATGAGCTGCATTAAAATCATACTTTTTCAAATAATTGGTATAGAAGATAAAATTCAGATTTAAATTCTCATAACATTTAAATATCAAAGATAGTGATACTGTTTTTTCCTTTGTTAATGATAAGAAGAAACAAGAGATCCAGTTTAAATGTATCTGACATCTATACATTTTCAGTATTTAACTGGGTTAAAGGATCAAGAGATTAATCAAAACAATTACAGGTAGAGGATATCATTTGTGCCTTTTCTAGGTTCAGTACAGTAGTTATATATCCAGAGAACCAGCAGGAATTCTCAGATACAACGTCAAATAATGGAATTTTGGCAAGCAACTCTTAACATCACCTTTATTTAATATGCACTACATGCACGATGCAGGTAGGAAAAAAGTTTATGAATCCATGCAGTAAAGACAATACAGACTGGTGCTACTGCCAAACGTGCATTGGGCCAATTAGGATGTTGCTCAAGTTTTTAATGGTTTCCATGAAATAAGTGCAGAATCAGAAATGTGTACACATCTCAAAGCATCCTCTTCATTTGGTTTCCTGAGCTTTCTTTGCATTCTGTTTTTCTTTTGCCTAGAAATTAAAGATAATATGTTACAAAATCTTAAAAGTCTACTTTAAACAGTATTAAGATAAAATGTGTCTAAGTGGGCATTTTCAAACTGAAATACTTTAGATGCATTGTTTACAAGATAACTAGAGCATTTTATAATTTGAGCAATGTGACAAACTATCATATTTTTTGCATATAAGAGGTACATATAAATAACACACGCAGGCACAGCATGCATAGGAAACTGATGCACAACAGGGGTGCATAGTTTGCAAAAACTGTAACACACACATTATTTGTGCAAAGATACAGTACTCCTAGACAATTATTCAGCTTTTCTCTGCCTTTAATGAGAAAGGATGTTGGTTTGCAGTTCTTTCTTATCTAAATTTGAAATGTATTATTAAAATTGTAATAATTTTTATAACATAATTATTCATTCCATAATCATATTCATAAATAAGTATTTTTTAAATACATTTACATATTTACCCATTTCTCATTCAAAAAAGGGTGAACAAAATACTATTTTAGTTTCTGCATATTGCAATTATGGTTAAATTAGTTTAACATAACAATGTTACCAAAGAATGGATCCTTTGGTGTCAATAAACTTTGTTTATATAATTTTTCAATAATACTGAGATGACATATACATAACATAACATGTACTATCTCAATTTCTACATGTACATTTCAGGAACACTGATGCATTTTTCAAGTTGTGCAGACAGTCTCTCTTTTTCCAAATCAGTTCACTACCATTAACATAAAAGCAACGATCCCTAGGCAAAAAACCCCCCTTTCCTGCCCCCTCTCACCCCTGGTAACTTCTAATCATCTCTGGTTTTTATATATTTGCTTATGTTATATAAGTAAGATCATAAAATATTTGTCCTTTTGTGATGGACTTATTAAATATGTTTTCAAAGTTTGTCCATAGTGGCATAAATCAGGACCTCATTTCTATTTATGGCTGAGTAGTATTCCATTGTGTGTACATACCACATTTTGTTCATCCATTGTTCTGCTGATGGACATTTCAATTGTTTCCACTTTATGGCTATTGTGAGAAGTGTTACAATTAACACAGTACATTTCTGTTTGCATTTCTGCTTTCACTTCTTTTGGCTATGTATCTAGGATTGAGACTGATGTCACATGGTAATTCTATGAGGAACTGACAAATTGTCTTCCACAATGGCTGTAGCATTTTACATTCTCATCAACAATGAATGAGGGTTCCCGTTTCTCCACAACCTTGACAACACATGTTGTTTTCCATTTTTTTAATCATTGCCATTCTAATAGGGGTGAGGTGGTATCTCATTGTAGTTTTGATTTGTATCTCTCTAGGAGCTCTGGTAGCGTAGTGCCTAAGGCACTTGACTGCTAACCGTAAGGCTGGAGGTTCAAACCCACCGGCCACTCCTCAGAAGGACGGTTGGGCAATCTACTCCCGTAGTGATACTGCCTCAGAAACCCAAGGAGCGGTCGCTATGAGTCGAGTCGAACTCGATGGCAAATAACAACAACAATGGCTAATGACATTGAGCATCTTTTCACTTACAAGGGGGTTCTGTTCCAATGACTCCCTGGTTAAGTCAGTTCTGATGTAAGTTGAATACCTCTGTCTTTTTTAGTTTTCATTATTATTGCTTTTTATGATGAGTGTCTTTTTAAATCCAATATTTGAACATCTGTGAGTGGATATCTGAGAATAATTACATCAGCAAATTACATGCTACAACGTACATATTACTAATAAGATGTTGTTGTTGTTGTTGTTGTTGTGTGCCGTCGAGTCGGCGCTGACTCATAGCGACCCCTCCTTGGGTTTCCGAGGCAGTATCACTACGGAAGTAGGATTGCCCAACCTTCCTTCTGAGGAATGGCTGGTGGGTTTGAACTGCCAGCCTTCTGGTTAGCAGGCAAGTGTCTTAGCCACTATGCTACCAGAGCTCCCAATAAGATGTACTCCCCCCCAAAAAAAGGACAAAAGACCACTATAAGTGCTATTTGTCCTAACTCCAATGCATTGTAAGTTACGGACAACCTCTACTTGATGGCAATTTAAGTATCTTCTTTGGCAAAATGTCTGTTCAAGTGCTTTGAACATTTTTTGATTTGTTTGTCTTTGTTGTTAAGTTCAATAAGTTTATATATATATATAAAATATTAGACCCTTATTAGACACATGGATCTCAAAAATTTTCTACCAATCTCTAGGTTGTCTTCTCATTTTTTTGATATAGTGTGTTGAACAAAAGTATTCATTATGAGGTCTCATTTATCTATTTTGTCTTCTGCTACTTGTGCTTCTGTCATATCTGATAATCCATTGTTAAAATCTGGCCCTGCAGCCATGCCACAATGTTTTCTTCTAAGAATTTTATGGTTTTAGTCTTCACATTTAGGCCCTTGATCCATTTTTAATTGGTTTCAGGTATGGTGTGAAGCACAGGTCCTGATTCATTCTTCTGCATGTGGAAATCCAATTTTCCCAGCATCATTTATTGAAGAGACTCTTCCTCCTTCCCCTTTGAATGGACTTAGTACCCTTCTCAAAAATCAGTTGACCACAGATGCATGGATTTATTTCTGGACTCTTAATTCTACTCCACTGCTCTATGTAAGTGATACTCTATACCAGGATAATTTAATTACTGTGGTAGGCTTACTTATGTTTAAAAAATGTTTTTACACATTACTTCATTTGATCCTCATTAAAATTATATAAGCTTTAATGCAGTAATTATATGTTTATTCTTTTCAGAGGAAGACACCAAGCCTCACAGATGTTATCAAGCTTGACCAAAGTCACACAGCTAGTACATAAGAAAACCTCAATAAGAGGTCAAAAGATACATGTTCTACAGTTGTGTTTCTCAATGTACATAACAATAATCTGAGAACCCTGGTCAAAGGCAGACTGATTCAATAAAATGCCTGAGATTTCAAATTTCTATCAAACTCCCAGATGATGCCAATTCTACTGGTCCTTGCAACACACCATGAGAAGCAAGATTTTAAAGTACTAGAATACAACGCTTTTTTCCATCATGCCACTTAAATCAGAGAGAAACCAGTAAATTAAACTCTGGCTATTAAAGAATAAAAAAAAAAAAAAAAAGAAAGAAAACTTCCTTCTATAAGAGATAGGATAATTAGAACAATTATAATCTTTTTTAATAATTCATTAAGTAATATAGTTCCTAAATAATAGTATGATAAAACTGAGTGCTGTACCTTACTTACAGTTAATATATTAAGGGCAAATATATTTATGTGTCATATAACAAAGTAATAAAATTAATTGCTTATAAGCATAACTTGTAATTTGAAATGTCAATAATTTCTCAGACATTAATGCTAAACAAAGAGCTTTTCTGTTTTTTAATAATAAAAATATAATTTGATTTTAGACATAATTGAAATGTAAGTATGTTCTCCTTCCCTTATTGATTTATCTAGATATACATAAGAGAATGTTTAGTAAATTAAATAAGAATGTAATTACTGGTTATGATGTAAACTTGACAATATAGGTAAGTTATCAAAGACATACAATGCAGAGAGTATCCACATATTTATTAATCTGTATAATTCAGATTAAAATGAAGGAATACACAAAATAAATTCAAAATAATTACCACCCTTATTTGAGCACTTATTGTGTACTTTATAGATATAATCTCATTTAATCCTCAAGAATGTGTAATATGTATGATTCTCAATTTCCAGATGAGGAAATATAGGCTCTAAGAAAGTAAATAACTTACCTTAACACATCAACTAATAAGTAACATTATCTTAGATTTACACTCAAAGCCTGTACTCTCTTCTGCTTTTATTTAAAAAATTAAAAACACTACATTTCTAAATAGAAAAGCAAAATACACAGTGAAAAAATACTTTCCTTCTCAATAGTGTGTCAATAAGAAACTAAAAATTACTGACTCAAGTACAAATAATTCTGTAATCATAGATAGTAATGTACAGATTACTGTAATTTACTATTCTTCTACCTTACTTCTATTAAGGGATAGAAAAAGAAATTTCTCAAAGCTAATTACTTATTTATCACCAACTGAATCATAGTGTCTTAGTTAAAAAAAAAAGGATGGTGGTGGTAAAATTCACTATTGTGAGGTTGCTTTGTCCCCCTAGCAAAAAGAATCTGTAATTTTTCATTATAGTAGGCTCTGATACTGAACAGGTTTCAGCAAACCTTGCCTAACTAAGATGGCTGAAGAACAAAGGCCTGGTGAACTACCTCTGAAAAATCAGCCAATGAAAACCCTATGGATCACAATGGTCCAGCCTGCAAGGATCATGGGGATGGCACAAGATCCGGCAGTGTTTCGTTCCACTGTGCATGGGGTTACCATGCGTCAGTGGCCAACTCAACAGCAGCTAACCACACTGGTTTTCAACAAACTCGAGATACACAGTATTTCAGAATTACATATAAAGGCTGAGATAAGAATGATAAAAGAATAAATATATCTGAATAAATAAAAATCTGACAAATAGAATTCCAATCTCACTGATTTTTATATTTTTAAGAAAGAGTTTTGGTGTGTGTTACGTGAAATTTTACAACTGATATACTGATATATTTTCATTTTACAATGATGTATTTTCAGGTTACCTCCTGAGCGTTTTTTTGTATGTTTAATTATCTCATCAGATAAGGGTAGAAACCCCATATAACAAAACCATTTATAAGGCAAGAGATTTACTCTGATATAATTTAACTGGGAGCTCTGGTAGCATAGTGCCTAAGGCACTTGACTGCTAACCAGAAGGCTGGCGGTTCAAACCCACCAGCCACTCCTCAGAAGGAAGGTTGGGCAATCCTACTTCCATAGTGATACTGCCTCAGAAACCCAAGGAGGGGTCGCTATGAGTCGGGGCCGACTCGACGGCAAATAACAACAACAACATAATTTAACTGATTAGCACTGGGAGAACCAAAGTCCTCCTGCTTTAGTTTTCTATCAAATAAAAAGATTTCTATGGTTCAGATATTCACAAGCTGTATGCAACTGCTTCAGTTACTCAAAAATCTGATCCTTGACAGGCTCAGCACGTAGTACCATTGCCTAGAGCAGCCACATCTTTACTGTTTGCTTCTTCCTACCCCCCTTCCATACTTCGTTTCCTTGTCTTACTATTCCTTAAAATTAAAAATGATTCCAATTTAATAATCCATTTCTGAATTTTTCTTGGAAGTATTATTATATTACTATTAAATAACTTATTATCAAAGACTTGATCTTATATAAAACTATAAAATCCAATATTAAATATTTATATGTATTCTAGCAGTTTTTCAACCTGCTTTGTATTCTAACATTTGCATTTATTAGCAGAAAATGATATCATTATAATTCAATGATACATTTTCTCAAAATAAGATGAATAAAAATATACTTGTGCTGATTCAGTTGTATAGATTAAACATTTAATTACAACTGGAGATATAAAATTTTGTGCTTATGAAATTTTAAGTGGCTAAAGGTATTCAGTCCTTGCAAGGCACAAATACAGTTAAGTGCTGGAATATTAACCTCAGGGCTGATGGTTCAAACCCACCCAAAGGCTTGATCTGCTTACAAAAAATCATAGCCTTGAAAACCCTATGCTGCAGCTGTACTATGCACACAGAGGGCTGCCATGAGTTGGAATCGACTCAATGGTAACTAAAAACAACAATACAAATCTATTTAGGTCCCTGGGTGGTATAAACAGTTAACATATTCAAATGCTAACCCAAAGGTTAGAGATTAAAGTCTACCCAGACGCACTTCACATGAAAGGCCTGGTGATTACTTCTGAAAAATCAATCACTAAAAGCCCTAACCAAACCAAACCTACTGCTGTCAAGTCAATTCTGACTCACAGTGACCCTTCCTTGGGTTTCTGAGGCAGTAGTTCTACGGAAGTAGAGTGGCTGATGGTCTTGACCTGCCAGCCTTCTGGTTAGCAGTCAAATGCATTAGGCACTATGCTACCAGAGCTCCCAAAAACCCAATGGAGCACATTTCTACTCTGACACACATAGGGTTGACATGAATTGGAGATCACTTGATCATGGCTGGTTACTGGAGGAAAAATTATCTCTTCTGTATGCACCAAAGCCCCTCCTTTGCTTTCCCCTCTCAGGCAGACAGATACTGCATATACCCAAGAAATAAATGTCTCAATGTTGCTTATGTAATATTATTAATTAAGGAATAATTTAGAGAAATAGGCAAAAGCTAGAAGGTCACCAACTACCTCTCTTTCTCAATAAAACAAATGTAAACGAGAGCAGACCAAATTGATGCTCCACTTTAACTAGGCATTCATACACTGCCACCTTGTGTCCAAATAACGTGGGCTAAGGAAATGTGATTCTAACACAAAAGATGAAAAGCTGTTGCTCTCTCTATGTTCACAAAAATCTGGGGATATACTGACATTAAACTCAAACAAGAGTATTTCTTTTCCTAATGGACACAAAAAATAACATTCACAGACCAATTTTAAAGCAAAAATTATGCATTTAAAATTTCTCTAATAACATCTGTCTAGTCCCTAATAGCATTTATTTATATTTAAAATCTGGTATTACATGTTGTATGATTTAGCACAATATTCTATGCTGTTATTTTATGTTTAGTATTTTCAGCAAGAGAAATATTTCATAAAACTCACTGCCGTGGAGTGGGACCCAACTCATAGCGACCCCTCCTTGGGTTTCCAAGGCAGTATCACTACAGAAGTAGATTGTCCAACTGTCCTTTTGAGGAGCAGCTGGTGGGTTTGAACTGCCAGCCTTCTGGTTAACAGTCAAATGCCTTAGGCACTACACCACCAGAACTGTTCCCTACAATGTCTGCTACCACGTCTAGGCACTCTGCTAGCTAAGCATTTCAACAAACACAGGACATTAATTGTTCATGTAAACTTTAAAAATAAGTTTCTCAGCTTGGACTTCCTATAAATTTAATATCCTGAGATGCATGAACAGAAAAACTTATGTGCAAAGAAAATATTTAGTAGTCTTAGGCAATAATTTTATTTATTTATTTATTTATTTATTTATTTATTTATTTTGCATTTAAAGCTGTAAGTCAGGGCACATCTATTTCAGGATCTGGGTAATAAAATACATATAAAAATCTCATTAACTCACATAAATTATTTAGAATGTGTGACAATATGAAACAGCTGGGTTGAAATGTATTTTTGCTTAGTAAACTTTAAAATTAGTAAGAAAAATGTAACTACCATGTGTTCCAGTCTTTTTTTAAAGTCATGCAGTAGTGTCTCAAAGTGTTTCTCAAAATGTGGTACACAAACCAACTGCTTAAGAATCATTTGAGAGATGTACTGAAGATTCCTCCCTGCATCAGAATCTCTGGGGAGGGACCAGGTAACGTGTATTTTAAAGAGTATCCAGGTATGGTCACTTTCAGACACACAGATTTACACTGTAAATTTAAAAACAATTTAAATGCATTTCACTTATTCAACAAATTGTTTATTGAAGATTTTACCTGAAGAAAAAAAAAAAATCTTAGAAATCAGATTTTTCCCTCAGTGGAAAGGATACTAGACCAGGAATAAGGAAACACATTTCAAAGGCTACATTTTTGGGGATTTTCTTTTTCCCTCAATGTACATTCTAGTTCTAAACTATATGATTTATTTCATCCTTTTTCTGAATTAAAAAAGGAAAAACTCTATTACTTCAATTATTGTTTCAATCTTAAAAAGATAATAGTATTTTAATACAACCAAACCCAAAAAACAAAATCTATTGCTGATGAGTCCATTCCAACTCATAGTGTTCTTATAAGACACTGAGTAGAACTGCTATACTTGGTTTCTAAGGCTGTAAATCTTTATGGAAGCAGACTCGCATTTTTCTCCTGCAGAGCAGCTGGTAGCTATGAACCACAGACATTATGGTTAGCAGTTGTTAACCACTGTGCCACAACACAATCTAAGTTATTGACACTAAGGATTCTGAAAGACTAAATCAACAGGACAATCCTTTATATTTATTAACAATATTTAGATTGCACTAATTTTCATCTACAATATTAAAAACAACAGGCAAAAGCAATTAAATAAGCTTAATAGAATTTTCCTTCTACTCATGCCAAAAAAAATATTTCAGGTTTTTGGAGAACCTTAACCTAATTGAAGCATTCACCAATAAAATATTTACCTTTTCTACTAGTGGTATTAACTGCTGATGTTCAGCTAAGGTCTTTAACAATTCCATAATGAAAGGCAGGTAATTATGCTTCCTTCTGATATTTTCAATCTGAAAATAAAACAAACATCAAACAATGCTAAGTATACATTTTTGCTAATATTTTGAAATTTGTATTTTTTGCATATAACTCAAGAAAGACATAGGATAGAATCCTCCATTCTCCTAAGAAAAATATGGTAAAAATGAGATTCACAAACTCACCAAAACCAAAGACAAAGAAAGAATCTTGAAAGCATGGGAAAAATGAAAAGTTACCTACAAAGGGCAACCAATAAGACTAAGCTCTAATTTCTCAGCAGAAATCATGCAGGTGAGAAGGCATTGGGATGGTATATATAAAACCCTGAAAGAGAAAATTTCCCAACCGAGAATTATACACCCAGCAAAATCATCAAATATGATGGTGAAATTAGGACATTTCCAGATAAGAAGAAATTAAGGGAATTTGTTACAAGAAGATTAACCTTACAAGAGATGCTAAAGGAAGTCATTTGGACAGAGCACCAACAGCAGCAAACAACAACTGACCATTAACACACATGATGACATAACACAGACACCAACCCAGTTATGGAAGCATCTAAAGTAAAATAAGCTTACAAGATTGTAAACAGGGAACTGGAGACATCAATTGGCAACTGAGGACAACTACAAACCAAAAAGAGGGAAAAAACAGTGTAGTTACAGAACTTCTAACTGGTGAGGAAGTCAAGACAATTGTAAGACAGAATAGACAGTTCTAATCTTGGGGAGAAAATTTTAAATCATAGGGTAACCTTAAAGAAAAATGACAAACTTCTACATCACAATAAAAAAAGAGGGCAAGCACAAATATTTAGCAAATACCAAAACAATAGCAACAAAGGAAGTGATAACACAATCATAAACAAAATGAGCTCAGCACAGAAAATTGTATAGAACAATAATGAAATCAGCAACACCACAAAAAACACACAACAAAATGACAGCAACAAATTCATACTTGTCAATAATTAACACTGAATGTAAATGGATTAAATGTACCACTAAAGAGACAGAGAGTTGCAGACTGGATAAGAAAACATAACTGATCAATATGCTGTCTACAAGAGACACACCTTAGAGACAAAGACAAAAATAGACTAAAAATTAAAGGTTGGAAAAAGTAGTATCATCAAAAAAGAAGAGAGGCAGTATTAATTTCTGATAAAATTGACTTTAAGACAAAAACCACCATAAGAGACAAGGAAAAAATTATATAATGGTTAAAGGATCAACTGAACAAAAAGATATAACCATAATAAATATCTGTGCACCCAATGAAAGAGCCCAAATAAATCAGACTTTAACAGAATTGAAAAGACAAATAAATTATTCCACAGTCACAGCAGAAGACTTTAATATACCACTTTCAATGAAAGATAGAAAAACTATACCTATTTGCTGATGATATGATTCTATACATAGAAAACCCAAGAGACTCAGCAAAGAAACTACTGGAACTAATTGAGAGATTTAGCATAGTGGCAGGATACAAGATCAACATACAAGAACCAGTTGGATTCTTCTATACCAGCAAAGAGATTGCCGGAAAGAAAATCAATACTGTTTACAATAGCTACCAAAAAAATAAAAAACTTGGGAATAAATCTTACCAGGGACACAAAAGACCTGTACAAAGAAAAGTACAAAACACTACTTCAAAAAACCATAAGACATCTGCATAAATGGAAGAACATACCATGCTCGTGGACAGGAAGATTGAACACTGTGAAAATGTCAGTATGTCGAGTCAGTCCTGACTCATAGAGAACACCTCCTTGGATTTCCGAGGCAGTATCACTATGGAAAGGAGCTCTGGTAGCATAGTGCCTAAGGCACTTGACTGCTAACCAGAAGGCTGGCGGTTCAAACCCACCAGCCACTCCTCGGAAGTAAGGTTGGACATTCCTACTTCCGTAGTGATACTGCCTCGGAAACCCAAAGGAGGGGTCGCTATGAGTCGGGGCCGACTTGATGGCAAATAACAACAACAACAACATCACTATGGAAATGACTGCCCAACCTTCCTTCCAAGCAGTGGCTGATGGGTTTGAACAGCCAGCCTTCCAGTTAGCAGTCAAATGCCTTAGGCACTACACCACCAGAGCTCCTACCCAAAGCAATCTGTACATTCAATGCAATCTCAATCCAGATCCTTCCAACATTCTTTAAGGATATGGAAAAACTAATCATTCATTTTATTTGAAAAGGAAAGAGACCTAGAATAAGCAAAGCACTACTGAAGAAGAACAATAAAACAGGAGGTCTCACACTCCCAGATCTCAAAACCTAATATACAGCCACAGTGGTCAAAACTGCCTGGTATTGGTAAAATGACAGATACATAGACTAGTGGAATAGAGAACCCAGAAATAGATCCCTTGACCTATGGTCAGCTGATCTTTGACAAAGGGCTGAAATTTATTAAATGGGCAAGAGGTGGTCTCTTTAACAAATGGTGCTGGCAAAACTGGAGATCCATTTGCAGAAAAATGAAACAAGATCTGCACCTCACACCATACACAAAAACGAACTCCAGATGGATCAGACTTAAATGTGAAACCTAAAACTATAAAGTTCCTCAAGGAACAAATTGGGGCAAATTTAGGGGCCCTTATGTATGGCATCTGACTGCTAACCAGAAGGCTGGTGTTCAAACCCACCAGCCACTCCTTGGAAGGAAGACTAGGCACTCTACTTCCATAGAGATACTGCCCCAGAAACCCAAGGAGGGGTCGCTATGAGTCAAATCAACTTGACGGCAGTGAGTGATAAATAGCATATATAGACTATCAAGCATAACCCAAAATACACAAACAGCAGAAGATAAAACAGATGAATTGGACCTTCTAAAAATTAAATTTTTAGGTGCTTCCAAAGACTTCTCCAAAAGAGAACCTACAGATTGGGAAAAAATACTTGGCAATGACATATCTGACAAGGGATTTATCTCTAAAATTTATAGAAAACTCCAACACCTCAGTAACAAAAAGACAAATAATCCAATTTTAAAAATGGGCAGAAGACATGAATAGACACTTCATCAAAGAGGATATTCAGGCCAACAAGCACATGAAGAAATGTTTATGATCCTTAGCCATTAGAGAGATGCAAATCAAAACAACAATGAGATACCATCTTGCTCCAGCACTAGAAGCAAAGTTCAACGAGACAGAAAATAACACATGCTGGTAAGGATGTGGAGAGATTGGGACTCTCATACACTGCTGGTGGGACTGTCAGTGATACAACCACTGTGGAAAACAGTATGGCAATTCCTTAAAAAGTTAGAATTAGAAATACCATTTGACCCAGCAATCCCAATACTAGGGATATAGCCTAAAGAAGTAAAAGCCAGGACAAAAACAGATATAGGCACACCCATGTTCATTGCAGCACTATTTACAATTGCAAACAGATGGAAACAACCTAGGTACACATCAACAGAAGAATGGATAACCAAACTATGGTACATACACACAATGGAATACTATCCAAACCTAAAGAATAATACAGAATCTGCAAACCACCACATAACATTGATGAACTTGGAGGACATTATGCTGAATGAAATAAGTCAATCACAAAAGGATAAATATTGTATTAGTCAGCTATTGTGAAAAGTCAAGGAAAGGTTTACATATGGAAGGAAACTTTCTTTGTTGCTTACCAGGGTAGGGAAGGGAACACTACTAGATAGGTAGAAACAAGTATTGATTTGGGTGAAGGGAAGAGCAACGCATCAACTGTGAGTGGCACTGAGGAAGAGGAAGACACAGAGAGTACATGAGAGATACAGACAACAAAGATGAACCCGTTTGCACATACAGTATTGTGTTGTCAGTGGCAGTAAACATAGATCTATGGGTGGACAGATGGGTGGATAGGCTCAACGATCAGGCATGTCTATGCAGGGGGCAATGTGCCCATGACCATGTATAGGGTTGGCAGATGATGTTTCTACAAGTATATTTGTATGTTCTGTAAGAATTTCAGGTATATAGTAGAGCTGACAAGGGACAAATTTATGGTGACTTCCTGGCCACAGCCAGCTACCTGAAGGGAGTGAGTAGTTGCACCTAATGGGTCCCTTAGGACCATGTTCCCAGGGTACATCAAGCTCAACTGGCATAACATACTACACAAAAACACTGTTCCACATTCTACTTTGGCAAGTAGCAACTGGAATTCTAAAAGCTTGTAAGCGGCCATCTAGATGCAACAATGTATCTCCCTTCGACCAGAACAAGTAAGAATGACAAAACCAAAACCGCCCGGAAACAATTAGTCCAAGGGACTGACAGACCATGTGATCCTCAGACTACATGACAGTAAGACCAGAAGTAGATGGCGCCCAGCTACAACTGCCAACCACTCGGAAGGGGATCTGTGTAGAAGATTCTTGATAGAGAGGGAGAACAATGTGGAACAAAACTTAAAATCATTGAACAAAAAAAAAAAGAGCAGGCTTGCTGGTCTGATATAGCCTGGTGAAACCCCTGAGACTATGGCCTTTAGCTGCCTTTCAGGTCTGAAACACCTGTGGAAACTCACTCTTGTGACTTCCAGCCAAATAAAAGACCAGTATAAGGGCTGAATGTTTACATTAGGTAGATAAATTCCTTGGAGAGAAGTGTATCTCCCAATTATGGGAGAACAGAAGGGCAATGTATACACAGGAAGACCACTTGAGGGGGCAAGAATGCATGAGAGGGAAGGACACAGGGAAAAGGTAACTGTGGGGAAGAAGTGGGAAGACAGCTACTACCTGGTGGGTAACTGCAGTCAATATCATGAGACAAAATGTGTATGAACTGCTGTATGAAAAATGAAATTGCTCTGTAAAGTTTCACTCAAATCACAATAAAAATTTTAAAAAAAGAGAGATTCAGTTCCCATAGTAAATAGAGTAATATAATTAAGCACACAGACAAGAGTGTTTTGGATTTGACTTCCCAGCTTCAGCTTAAACAGAGGCTTTTAAAAGCACAATCTAAGATTACTTATAAATACCATATGAAAGCAAACGTAAGAAGGCCTATATGATAATATTAATATTCTTGCTACACCTATGCAAATAATCAGAGCAACCCTAATAAGGCCAGCTTTATTTTGTAACCAAGAGTAATAGTTATTTGACATTAATTTTGATCAAAAAAGAGGAGACTGTAGGGAAAAACAGGTGATTCAGTGGAAAACAATGGATGTTAAGAGCAAGCCATTCTAAATTTAGTGAGTTCAGCCTTTCATAGCCACTGAGCTACTTTATACCACTGTTAAGATATACAGAAGTGAGAGCAATGGAAAATAATTCTTATGTAAAGACATACAGAATACTCCTAAATAATTCTTGTCTATAGACATGCAAATAATATTGTTTGACAGAAGTTCGATTGACTTCATTTTTTCCCTTGGGGGGGGACAGCTTCTTTGAACAATAACACCAAGGAGGTGTGCAGTCCTTGGAACAATCAACATTCGGGATCAAAAGGGCAGCATTTGCCTAACAACAAAGTTTAGAAGGCAGAAAACAGATAGGAAAGGAGGAGGAATGGAAACCAGAAACAAAGGAAGGAAGTGGGATGAATGATGTTACACTGTAGGGATTGCAATCAATAGTATGTAAAAAAGATGTATGACTTGTTGAATGTAAAACTGATTTGCTCTGTAAACTTTCACCCAAATCACAACACAAAGATGGAGAAAAAAAAAAAATAGCTTCCATCTATTTGTATATTCATTTCAATATTCCTTTACTTCATATAAATTGGTGTTTCTTTGACTTCTCCTTAAACTGGTTGTAACATATTACTGGCTCCTTCAGTTAATCAATGAATTAAATAAAATCTTAACATTTTTACCTTTTTTTTTTAAAACCAAAAAAAAAAAAAAAGGAATTCCCAAATTGTGTAGCACACAAAGATTCTGAGAACTTTGTGTTTTATTTTGGGCAGATATTAAAAAACAATTTATTATATAATAAACTAGCAAAAGAATACATATACGGTGAGCAGTTTTTTAATATGATGTTAAATAGAACATGAACATTAAAACTTTCATCTGCTACTTTCCTTTGTCCATGACCTTGGTTGGCCTTTCCCTGTCCCTTTCCCTCTGTCTGAAATGCTCTTTGCCTGCTTGTCCCCACCACTCCACCTGAAGAAATCCTACCAGTCCAAGGTCCATTTTTTTTTTTTATTTAACAATAGTGTATTGACTGCTAAGCATGTTATAAAGCACTACGGTGATACTGTGTTGAGCAATAAAAAAGAATAATTCTTGCCTTGAAATTAGCTCTAAAGGAATAAAATTTCTTTTTTCACTGTAACACACAACAACATAAGTACATCATACAAAAGTATGTACAAAAAGTCATACAAAATTCAAAATTCTCTCCATTCTTTTCACCTGCAATGAAAAAAGGCTTACAGATAAATTACAAGTGAAGGAAAACCACATTATTAAAGATAACTTTGATTTTTTTTAATCTTTGTTTCCAAATCTATAAATGTGTGATATAATTAAGCAAAATTAAATCAAAATTATAAAATAAACTCAAAATTATTTGAAAAGTAAAACAAATTAACCTAATTGTATATCAAGCTGATAATATAATCACACAGAGAAAATTTTTTCAAGTATATTTAAAACACAGTAATTTGACTGTACATCAAAAATAGGATATATCCTAAGGAAAAAGTAAGTCAGAAAAACTTGCCCGTAATTATACTGTTACTGGTATACTATTGGTATTGTAGGAGCTCTGGTAGCGTAGTGCCTAAGACACTTGACTGCTAACCAGAAGGCTGGCGGTTCAAACCCACCAGCCACTCCTCAAAAGGAAGGTTGGGCAATCTACTTCCGTAGAAATACTGCCTTGGAAACCCAAGGTGGGGTTCGTTATGAGTTGGGTCCGACTCAACGACACATAACAACAACAACTGGTATTGTTTTTTGAACAGACACACACATATAACATAGCATAAAGCAAATAAGTAATTAATTATGTTAATGTTGTTAGGAACCAAGATTTTCAGCTTAAGAGACACAAATACTTCAACTGTAAAGCCCTTTAATACTATTTGAACTGCAAATATTAATACAAATTCACATTTTCTCTATAAAACAAACAAAAATGAATCTCTTAGTTCCAAAAAGGCTTAGAAACAATGACCAATCAGCAGCACTTGGCATCCTGAGTATCACAGTGATTTCTATATAAATGGCTGGTCCCAAGTCTAAGGTAGGAAATGTGCAAGATGAGCCTGAAACATGTCACATAAGAAAGCAAAGAAGCTATCAAAGCCAATGGGGTCATAACAAAAGGACTCAGAAGACAACCCAGTTTCCCAATGACCAAAGATGGGAAAATTTGAAAATTAATAAGAAATGCAGTGAATGGAAGCATCAAATAGGTTGAAGATTTTTCTTTGTAGTAATACAGGCAATCCTCAGGTTACGAACGTATGTACAACTCATAGTTTCAAACCAACCCCTATAAAGCCTATTATACTAAAAATTGTATATTAAACATAAAATATAAAATTTTATATTATATTAAAAATTCAAGGTACATACATTCGTTTATAATAACAAATAGGCACTACTCTGTGACACACATCAAAACATTATAATTATTTTTACTGTATTTTTATGTTAAAGATGTTTTAGTGCATCTGGAAGTGTTTCTTTAATGTTGTTTTGCATAGAAAACATTATGCACATTATATTTTATACATATTATATACCATATACTAAGACAAGCATCTGACTAACTGACAAAGATATGAACCATACCAAAGTGTTCCAACTTACACACAAATATGACTTAAACTTAAGGACAGAACACATTCATTATCTGGGGAATTCCCATACTTAAAAAACCTAAAAAAAAAAAAAAGAAATCTCACTAGTTACCATTGTAGACTGCCAGAGAATCAACTCATTATTCCGAAAATTATACATGATGGAGGAAAAACAATCAAGCATTAAACATATCTTTTTGTCAAAACACCTCGCTCTGTATTAAAATATTACATGAATAAATTTTTAAAATAACATACCTTATATCTTTTTAATTTTTGTACTTCTTCTTCAATAAGCATCTGATTTTTGGCAACTTCTGACTGAATAGCACTTAACATATTATTACCCTGATCTGTATCCATGGGTTCCTCCTTAGGGAGAAAAAAAAGATAGCACACCCTAATGACTGAGGCTTAGGTCTGGAATATTTTAAATAATGAACAGTATTAATATATTCAAATTTCTACTCTTAATATTGGTGACAGAGTATCAGCCTAATGATATTAACATTAAAGGATTAAAACATTAAATGGTTACTGCAATATTTCTATGTTCTATAATAATACATATGAATATTCACCTAAAAACAACCTCTATTGTAATCTCCTATACTGCTATAATCTCCCAGTCAGCTGCAAAATAAATTTCCTTAAACACATTCTTAAGAAATTATAACCAAAGGTGTATCAAAAAGATCTTTATTACTAATTCTTTTCTCCAACCATATTTACTATAGGAAAATATTCAATTATAAAGACTAGTAAATAAATATATGTGAATCTAATCGTACTCAACAAATTACTGGAAAAATATACTAAGCTATTTAACTGTATAATGAAGGCACAGTAAAGAGTTAACACAGTTATTAACTGATAACTTACCGTGTCAGTCAGAGTTTAACAAAGTTTTTAAATGTATTATCTCATTTAATCCTCACAACAGCCTTTTAGGTAAATTCTATTTTCCCCATTCCACATGAAGAAATTGAGATATAGCAAAATATACTCAAATGTATAAATCTACTAAGTGCCAGAGCCAGAAACTAAATCTAGGCATTTAGTTCTAAATGCCTATAAAATGCCTAAAGTCTATAAAATGCCACTCAGGACACTTGATTAAATCTATACTTAAAAAAAAACTTTTCTGAGAGAATAACTGAGCTAGAACTTTCTACTTAAAAGCACAGCCACAAACCTCTGCAAGTTGTCTTTGTAACTCTGCTATCTTCTGTTCATATATCATTTTTCTGTCAGACACAATGGCCATTAAGTTAAATCGAATTTCCCCTTCACTGTATCTAAAAAGAAAAGTTATTTTAAAGTTTACTATAATAAAGAACTGTGAAACTATTTACAGTTAAGTGACTCTATTGTGATATGCCATAATCCTCTGGGGTAAACAAAAATGTATCAATTGGCTAACATTAGAAACTGACATTTTTAACCACTTTTCCTATTTGATAGAATATAAGAATAGGAAAAAAACTAGCTACATTTCCTCAATCACAAATATCTTAAAATGCTCTAAAATAATGTTAATTTTTGTTAAAACATTTAAAATATTTTTTTCACCAGTTTCCCTATATTTATAAAAAATATGTAACTGTCATTTAATTAAGCTCTCAAAATCACAGTGAAACAGAGTCCACATTCATTGTACTAATCATAATGGCACCTTCATGGAAGTTAATTATACTCCTTATTATATACTTTTTTCCAAGTCTTGATTAATTTCTATTTTTATTAATAATGCTTTTTGCTATGGGTGATTATAACCTGCTATAAAACTTCTGAATACTATCTAATTTTCACTTCTCTGGTATCAACGAACGCAATTCATAGCATAAGTTTGTTTATGATAAGAGACTGACATTTTAAAAATAACCCATAACTTTACGTAATGTCATTTAGTCAAGAAAATGTAAGCAATTTCTGTATTAGTTCACCTCACCCCTAGGAGTTCCTCATACTTGGTTCAAGTAATTGGAAGAATTATAACTATAAATTATAGTACTTTGTACTATGTAAAAATGTTGTTTTAAAAATTCTACTATATTTCCCTATTCTTCCCATTAAGTACAATGAAAAACCCTGGACATATACTCTTGCAATTTTATAAATAAAATCCTTGACACCTTCAATATTTTGTTTATCAAGAGAGTGTTTATTATACATTAATGTGATATATAATATACAAAACCAAAACCAAACCAAACACAGTGCCATCGAGTCAAATCCAACTCATAGCAACCCCTCCTTGGGTTTCCAAGGCAGTATCCCTACGGAAGTAGATTGCCCAACCTTCCTTCCGAGGAGTGGGTGATGGTTTGTACCACCAGCCTTCTGGTTAGCACTCAAATACCTTAGGCACTAAGCCACCAGAGCTCCTATATAATATACAATATATTATATATATTTGTTGTTGCTAGATGCTGTTGAATCAGTTCTGACTCATATAGACCCTATGTACAACAAAACTAAACATTGTCAGGTCCTGTGCCATCTTCACAATCATTGACATGTTTGAGGTCATTACTGCAGCCAGTGTCAATCCATCCTATTGAGAGTCTTCCTCTTTTTCACTGACCCTCTACTTTACCAAGCACAACGTCCACCAGGTACTGGTCCTTCCTGATAATTTGTCCAAAGTATGTGAGATGAAGTCTCACAATTCTCGCTAATAAGGAGCATTCTGGCTGTACTTCTTCCATGACAGATTTGTTCATTCTTCTGGAAATCCACAGTACATTCAATATTCTTTGCCAACACCATAAATCAAGTGCGACACTTTAGTCTTCCTTATTCACTGTCCAGCTTTTACATACATGTGAAGCAGCTGAAAATACCATGGCTTGGGTCAGTCACACCTTACTTAGTCTTCAAAGTAACACCTTTGCTTTTTAACACTTTAAAGGGGTCTTTTGCAACAGATTTGCCCAATGAAGTACTCGTTTGCTTTCTTGACTGATGCCTCCATGAGTGTTGATTGTGGATTCAAGTAAAATAAAATCCTTGACAACTTCAATATTTTCTGTTTATCATGACAGCGCTTACTATGTATTACAAAATATATTTAGAGAGAGAGTGACTCTAAAAAACAGACAAGCAGAGGAGCTCATGACCCAAGGAATGTCAAAGTGGTAAATTGTCAGGGTTGTCTTTATGCCTCATACATCCCACACATGGAGCTGAAGAAGCCAGCAACCCAGAACTGCCAATGAATGCAGACCAAAAAAAAAGAAAAAAGCACCAACAGAAGCCTAAGAACTAGGAAAGGGACAACTCACAAGATAGAAAACTTTTAGACAATAACCACTATGCTGTGCCAAACATGACAGGAAAAAAAAAAAAAAAAGTGACCCATATCAACAAAGGCTGTATGGGAAGCCTAGATTTCCACAACAGGCTGTAAAAGGTACCTCAATTACCCATCCACGGTTCATAGTAGGGAGCTGACACTTTCATCTTTGCCAGGTAGTAATAATGACACCCCCTCTGTGGTACAAGAGGGAAGTGGGAAGCCAAAGTGGGAAGCCAAAGCTGTCGCTACCATCCTACAGTAACAAGGTCTCCTCTACTCATTGTCAATGGAGGCTATGTGGAAGGCAGTAAGGAGATATTCCTACTGCCCCAGCCGGGGGGGAGGGGGGAGTACCAGAGGAGACCTAGTGGGAAGGTAGAACTTTCACCCCTGCACAGCAGCAATGAGGAACCTTCTCTATGCCAGGTGTCAATGGAGGCTGAATAGGGAGCCTGAACTTTACTCCCACTAGGCAGTAATAGGACAGCGCCTCCTATTTCCACTGCTGGAGTGGAATCCATAGAAATCAAGAAGTTTTAGATAAGATCCAAAGTCTCATAACATAATAATCAAAATGCCCTGGTTTCAATCAATAATCACTAATCATATTAAAAACCATGAAAATCTTAATTTTAATGAAAATGTTATTCAATAAATGCCAACACTAAGATAACAGAATTACGACAAAGATTTTAAGATAGCATCATAAAAACGCTTCGATTATGAACATAAATGAAAAAAATAGAAAGCCTCAGCAAAAAAACAGAAGATAAAAACCAAATGGAAACTCTGAAAGTGAAATATACAACAAACAAAATATAACACTTAATGGATGGGTTCAACAACAGAATAGAGAGGAAAGAAAACAATCAATGAACTGGAAGACAGATTAGAAACCTGTGGTCTGAATGGACAGAGGAGAGAAAATCAACTGGGAGAGGGGTTGAATAGAGCCGTAGGGGCCCAAAATGAGAAAATCAAACTGACTGCCGTGGAGTAGATACCAACTCCTAGTGACACCTCCTTGGGTTTCTGAGGAGGTATCTTTACCCAAGTAGATTGCCCAGTCTTCCTTCCAAGTAGTGGTTGGTGGTTTGAACCACCAGTCTTCTGGTTAGCAGTCAAATGCCTTTGATACTACACCACCAGAGCGCCCAGTGGGACTAAAACAAAAGCTTTGACATCGATATCTAACAAGAGAAGAGAAAGAGAAAAAGTTGAAAAGGTACTCAAATAATAGCAAAACTTCCCAAATTTAAAAACATAAACTTACAGATTCAAGAACTGGGCAAATTTCAAACAGAATAGAAATAAAGAAAGCCACACCAAGACACACTGTAAACATCTGGAAACTAAAGATGGAAAAAATCTTGAAAGCAGTAAGAGACAGGCAACTAGTATCCTTCGAAGGTAAAAACAATTTGAATGATAATAGTTCTCATGAGAAACTATGGAAGCAAGAAGGGAGTGGCACAACTTTGTAAAAGTGCGAAATTAAAAGACTGTCAACTCAGAAGTCTATAACCAGTGACAATACCCTTCAGAAATGAAAGGGAAATCAAGACATTCTCAGATGAAGGAAAATTAAGAGAATCTCATCAGAAGACCTACCCTAAAAGAACAGCTAAAGAAGTTCTAGAAACAGAAAGGAAATGATAAAAGGAATTCTAGAACCTCAGGAAGAAAGAAAAAAACAATGAAAAGAGGAAAAACATGGTAAATACATTATTCATCTTCCCTTGCATTTTCTAAATGATGTTTAATGGTTGAAGTGAAAAATATAACACTATCTCATGTTGTCCTAAATGATGTAAAATAATTATTTAAAGCAATCATAAAAACAGAGGGAGGTAAAGTATGGAAAGGAAGGTATGGTTTCTACATTTCACTCTAATTGGTAAAATGTTGGCAGTAGTAGAATGCAATAAGTTAAAGAAACTACTAAAAAAGCTGTATAGGAAATAAACTCAAAAAAAAAGGCTAGGCAGGTAACACATTAAAAAACACTATGGATAAAACAGAAAGTTCTAAAAAAAAGTTCAAATAACCCACAGGAAGGCAGGAAAAAGAAAGCAGAGAAACAAAAATCAGAGGAAAAAAATACCAGACTTAGCTATTACACAGAAATAATTACATTAAATATACATTTAATTTCACATATAATCATATATATCACATATATATGTATATAAACATATACAAATGTAAATGGTATAAATATACAAAAAACAGAGATTGGCAGAATGGATTAGAAAACATGATCCAATATATTCTGCCTATAAGAAACTCATTTCAAATATAATGATATAGGTAGGTTGAAAGTAAAAGGATGAAAAAGATGCATTATACATACATTAATCAAAGCAAAGCAAATTATCAGGTTTACAAAGATTCATGGAAAGAATTAGTCCTAGTGACTGGTACACCACACGATCTGTAGCCTATACAACTGTAAGACCAGAAGAACTAGATGGTGCCCAGCTACCACTGTCCACCACTCGGAGAGGGGTCAGTGTAGGAGATCTTGGATAGAGAGGGAGAACAATGTGGAACAAAACTCAGAATCATTTGGGAAAAAAAGGGGGGGAGGGGACCAGGTTTGCTAGTTTGATAGAACCTGGTGGAACCACTGAGACTATGGCCCCTAGCTGCCCTTCAGGCCTGGAATTGAACCCACACCTGTGGCTTCCAGTCAAACAAAAGAAAGTCATATGAGGTGAATATTTACCTGATGTAGATAAACTCCCTGGAGAGAACAATCATGAGAGAAAGAAGGGCTGTTTATGCTGCACAGGGAGACAGCTCAGGGGACAGGAATGCATGGACGGATAGACACAGGAAAGAGGTAACCATCGGGAGGAAGTGGGAGGGGAGCTGTTGCATTGTGGTAAATTATAGTCAATGTCATAAGACAAAGTGTATGTGAACTGCTGTATGGAAAGTGAATTTTCTCTGTAAATTTTCACAATTAAAAAAAAAATAGTTATCCACTTTAGATAAATTAAAATTCAAAAAACATTTACAGAGACAGACAGGGACATCACATAATGATAAAAGGATCAATTAACCAAGAAGACATAGCCATCACAAAAATGTATGCAGCAAACAACAGCAAAATATATGAAACAAAAACTGATAAAACTGAGAGGAGAAATAAATTCAGAACTACCCCTATTGGCAAATGACATGACTGTCTATTTAAAAAATGCCAAGGAATCTACCAGAAAACTCCTAAAGCTAGTGAACAAGTTCAGCAAGGACAAAGGATGTTAAGATAAAGGAGTGGGGGAGAGTGAATCGTATTTCTATATACTAGCAACAATCAAAGCTGAAATTGAAAATGCAATGCCATTTGTAACACTCAAAAAAAATATGAAGTGCTTGGATGTAAACCTGACAAAACATGAATAGGACATGTATATTGAAAACTATAAAATGCTGATGAAAGAAATCAAGGAGTATCATAAGCAAATAAAGGGAAAAATCATACTCATGGATTGGGAGACTCAACATGGTAAAGGTGTAAATTCTGCCCAAATCGATATAAAGATTTAAGGCTATTCTATCAAAATTCCAGTGAGATTTGTTACAGATAAAAACAATTTATACTAAAATTTATGTGGAAAGCCTGAGAAACTAGCAGAGCTAAAACAATTTTGAAAAAAAGAGTAAGTAGAAAGAATCAGTGTACTGATTTCAAGACTTAACCAACAGTAATTAAGCTTGTGTAGTATTGACAGAGGGAAAGACACAGATCAATGGAACAGAATTATAAATTTAGAAAACAATCCACACAAATATGCCCAACTGACTTTGTACTGAGTAAAAGAGCAGTTCAGTGGAGGAAAAATAGTCCTTTCAAATTATGCTAAAGTAATCAGATGTACATAAGCAAAAAATGAAACTTGAAATCAACTCCACACCTTATACAAAAATTAACTCAAAAGGGATCAAAAACTTAAATGTAAAAAGCTATACTATGAACCTTTTAGGAAAAAAATATAAGAATATCTTCAGTATCTAAGGGGTAGGCAAAGAAATCTTAGACTTGACAATAAAAACACAAATTATAGAGGGAAAACTGATAAACTGAACTTCACCAGGATTAAGAACTTCTGCTCTATGGAAAATCATGTTGGGAGAAAAGGGCATAGGCTATAGATGAGGCAGCATGCAGATGGAAATACTTTAATGCAATGAAACTAATACCTAGAATATATAAAGAAGTTCAGAGCTCAACAGTTAAAAAAAAAAAAAAAAAACTAAACAGGAAATGAGCAAAAGACATAAAAGATGTTCAACATCACTAGCCATTGTTGTTTTTACCTGCTATTGAATTGGTTCCAACTCATAGTGACCCTGTGTACAACAAAATGAAACACTGCCCTGTCCTGCACCATCGTCACAATCCTTGCTATGCTTAAGCACATCATTGCAGCCACTGTGTCAACTCATGTCATTGAGGAGTTTCTCCTGTTTTGCTGACACTTGACCTCACCAAGCATGGTATCTTGCAGGGAATGGTCTCTTCTGACAACATGACCAAAGTAGGTGAAACAAAGTCTGACCATTCTTACTTCTAAGGACCATTCCAGCTGCAGTTCTTCCAGGACAGATTTGTTAGTTTTTCTGGCAGTTGACAGTATTTTTGGCATTCTTCGCCAACTGCATAATTCGAGGTACAACCCTTCTTTGATCTTCCTTATTCATTGTCCAGCTTTCACATGCATATGAAGTTAATGAAAATACCATGGCTTGGGTTGGGCACACCTTAAGCCTTCAAAGTGACATCCTTGCTTCTTAACAATTTAAAGAAGTCTTTTGCAGCAGATTTGCCCAGTGCAGCACAATGTCTGACTTCTTGACTGCTGCTTCCATGGGTGCTGATTGTGGATCCAAGTAAAATGAAATCCCTGACAATTTCAATCTTTTCTCCATTTATCATGTTGTTGTTACTGGTCCAGTTGTGAGGATTTTTGTTTTCTTAATCCTGAGATGTAATCCATATTGAAAACTGTAGTCCATTAAGTGCTTCAAGTCATTTTCACTTCCAGCAAGCAAAATTGGGTCATACGCATTATCGCAGATTGTTAGTAAGTCTTCCTCTGATCCTGATGCCATGTTCTTCTTTGTACAGTCCAGCTTTTTGGATTATTTGCTCAGTGTACAGACTGAGTAAGTTTGGTGAAAGGATATAATCCGGACGCACACCTTTCTTGATATTAAAGCATGCAGTGTCCCCTTGTTCTATTTGAAAGGCAGAATGGCCATTAAGCCCACTGCCATTGAGTTGATTCTGATTCAAAGCTACTACCCTCATTGGGTTTCTAAGGCAATAAATCTTTACAGAAATAGATTGCCCCATCTTCCTTCCACAGAGCAGCTAGTGGGTTTGAACCACCACCCTCTGGTTAGCAGTCAGATGCTTCAGGCACTACACCACCAGAGCTGTTTATTACGCCATTCCAAAAAAAAAACCAAAACCATTGCTGTGGCGTCAATTCCTGGGTTTCCGAGGTTGTAAATCTTTACAGATGTAGATTGCCCGTCTTCCTTCTGTGGAGTGGCGGTGGGTTTGAACTGCCAACCTTCTGGTTAGCAGTCAAATGTCTCAGGCACTGTGCCACCAGAGCTCCTTATCAGGCCATTCCAAACTCACTGCCATTGAGTCAGATCTGACTCATAGCAACCCCTCCTTGGGTTTCCAAGGTGGTATCACTATGCAAGTAGATTGCCCAACCTTCCTTCTGAGGAGTGGCTGGTGGGTTTGAACCACCAGCCTTCTGGTGAGCAGTCAAATACCTTAGGCACTACACTACCAGAGCTCCTTATTAGGCCATTAGGGAGATGCAAATTGAAACTATACTGAAGTATTACTACACACCTCTCAGAATGATTGAAGTAAAAAACAGTGACAACACCAGATGTCAGCAAAGACGCAGAAAAACAGGGTCACTCATACACGGTTCACTGGAATGTAAAATGGTACTGTCACTCTGGAAAAAATTGGCAGTTTCTTAAAAAACTAAACATCCATCTACCATATGACCCAGCAAAAGCACTTCTGGGTATTGTTCCCAAAGAAATAAAAACTTACAGTCACAGAAAATTCTGCAAACAAAGATTTATACCAGCTTTTATGTATAATACCCAGAAAATAAAAACTACCAGATATCTTTCAACAGATGAATGGTTGAACAAACTGTGGCACATGTACACCATGGAACATGATCCATCAATAAAAGGAATGAACTGTTGATACACGCAAACAATCTGGATGAAAATGTCAATCCCAAAGATTATACACTGTTGAGATCCCATTTATATAAACATTTTTTGACAAAAACTATAGAACTAGAAAACAGATTAGTCATTGTCAGGGATTAAGGATAAAAGAGGCAGTAATAATAGGGAAGGGGGTATTGCTATGGAGGATAATTGTGATAATGGCATTCTTCTGTAGATTGATCATATCAACATCCTGGTTGTGATATTGCACTATATAGCTTTCCAAGATATTGCTACTGCAGAAAATTCGGCATAGGTTACACAGGATCTCCCTGTATTATTTCTTACAACTACAGGCGACTACATAATACCACAAACTAAAAAGTTTAATTAAAAATAGATGCTAAAAAAACTCTACAAACTACCTGTACAAATATCTAACACAATGGAGATCTACATGTTTAACTTCTCTAAAAACAAGATGTCCTATTATTAAAATTTAGAGATTTTTCTGAAATACAAATGTATTATTCCTGAACACATTACTCCAATCAAAATATGTCAATAAGCATTGCTTAAAAAAGAATAAAGTATTAAAATACTTAAAAAACAGAATGTTATGCCAATGAAGTTAGTTGAGCATTTACTTTTGTATTCTTTTTTCTATAACTGGCCTCACTGCGCTGATCCAGTCATCTTGATTGCATGCCCCTAGAAAGAAATTTAAAAGCATTTAAATAAAAATAAGAAAAATAAATGTTGACAGTACCTCAATAGTTTGGCACAAAATATCTCTTTCTACAAATATTTTAGCAAATTCAGAACAGGAAAAAAATCATGTTAGCATAACTATGTTAAGCTTCAATTCTAATTCTGTTGGTATTGGTGAAGGACAAGAATATTATCATAAACTGCATTACCACTTAGTAGATGATGAAAAAATGTTTGAGAGAGTAATGGCTTAGTGGGTTATCTCAATTAAACTTACAAATCTATGAAATAATAACTACCTTCATTTTACAAATGATGAAACTGAGGACTGAGAAGAACTACCTACATCTTAGCAGCAAAATAAGTATTCAACCTTTATCTGTCTGATTCCCACCTTCATAATTATAAAATAAAAAACTGAAATCCATGTGTGAGGCAAAACTGATTTTAGCCCATGTTTTAACCCCCTCCTATTTTTTAACCATAAATTTTAGTACAGCCATCAACTATACAGAAAAACGGGCTGTTCTTTTTTTCTTTAATTCCTTTATATTTGATATTTCTGGTAGTGTAATGCCTAAGGCATTTGACTGCTAACCAGAAGGCTGGCGGTTCAAACCCACTGGCCACTCCTCAGATGGAAGACTGGGCAATCTATTTCCATAGTGATATCGCTTAGGAAACCCAAGGAAGGGTTGCTATGAGTCAGATCTGACTCAACTGCAATGAGTTTGTTTGTTTGTTTTTTAATGAAAAGAAAATGGCTGACCAGATAGAAACTAACAAAGGAAATGTAGAGTTCAAATCAACCAGCATACTAAGGAAAACCAGCTTCTACAGGACTGAATGAACATTCTTCTAATTTTCTTTGACACAGAAAAATAATTGTTAATATAGGGGTAACATGTAAATCTGCATTAGATAAGCAACTGTATCGGCTTACTATGTGAGGCACAGACAAATAGTAGAAAGAAAATGAATCTATGTTAAATTTTTTTTAAATCTAGATGCTTAAAGTTCTATGAACAGCATATAACAACATTAGATGCAATTAAAACAAGTTTTGTACAACTTAAAAACAAACCTTATTTAAAAATAAGAAAACTTATTGAGGTCAAAAGAAGGAGTTAAAATTCTTCTGTGTGCCTATTATTTCAGAACTATGTCAGAACCACAGCCTCAACCTTGACAGTCATTTATTATTTGCTGAAGGTAAGAGACAGGGTATAAAATAATAAATAGAATAAATCTGCCCTTTGGCAAAAAGGACAGCACATGGGACACTATCTAAATAAAAACTCTGAAGCAAAATATTTTTGTAGACAATTAGATTTTTAAGCACTGAATTAACATGAGTCTAAATGATCTAATTCCTACAAAGAAATATTTTAATACAATATGATAAGAAGAAATGCTTGATATCTGTTATCAATAGGTTAAAAAAATCACAAGAATATCTTTTAAGTTCATTAAAAGTGAGTAGTTTTTAAAAGTTAACTGGAAAAAAATATGTATATTATATAATCTATGGGCTGAATAAATATTTTTATCTTAGAAAAACATTAATGGTCCCATTTCAATTACCATAATCAACATGCCCTTCTCATATGTTATTGCACTATATATATAGTACTGAAGGCTTAAGGCCTTCATGATATACACCACCTCAGTCACTTTCCCTCTAAAATTTAAGGACCACTGTGACTAAAATGAAGGTGAACACTCAATTTTTTTCTTATTTATCCAGAGTGAAATAACAGGACACCCTATAAATTGTTAGATATTAAATTTATTTCATGAGCAGCAGAGGAATGACATTACCTAAATCTATTGGTCCTTCTCTTAATCCATCTAATTCATATAGCCTCCCATTAACAGGAACATAACTGACAAAGTGAAAAGCATCTTCTTCTTTTGCTGACGTTTTTGCATCAAATTCAAACATTTGCTGTCTACAGTGAAGAGAAAAACAGTGAGAAACAGAGAATCAAAGAAAATGAACAGTATTAGTTGTTGCTATGGACTCAAGGCAATCCAATGCACAAAAGGATCAGACCGTTGTGATCTACAGAATGTTCACTTCTGATATCTGTAAGTAGATCACCAGGCCTTTCTTCCTAGTTTGACTTATTCTGGAAGCTCCACTGAAACATATTCAGTATCATAGCAATGCATGAGCCTCTACTGACAGAAGGGTGATGGCTACAAGTTAGGTGCACCGTCCAGGAATCAAACCTGGGTCTCCTACTTGGAAGGGGTGAATTCTACCACTGAACCATCATTGTCCCAAACAGTATTTATTTAATGTAATGTCTCTTTACCTGGCAAAACTGTTGTGAACTTGTCGAATCACATCTGAATTGCTCAACGCCAAACCTTTCATCTACAGTAATTAAAAAAAAAATAGACATATTAAAATAAGAACTATTATAAATAGGGCATTTTGGGAATAAGAAAATGTACTCACAGCTGCATCAAAACTTTGTGAAAATTCCTTAAATTCTGATAATGTCTCTCCTAAATGGACATCTTGATGGGTACAGTTTAATAACACACTTACTATGGCTTGAGTAGCACAAGCATTATTAATTACCTATAAAACATAAAAGCAAAGATATTAGCAATTTATTTTTTAAAATGTGGTTTTGAACTGGTGACAGTAACCTCAAAAATATAAATTAAGGTTAAAGTGTTCAAACTTATTACATAGTCTTAGCATAAACATAATAAACATATTTAATTTGTATTCTAGTCTATTTCCAGTGATGTGCTGGAATTCTAGAGTTGAAGATTCTAGAAAACCAAATAAATTAAATCCTCTTATAACATGAGTGAATACCAATACAGTTAGGGTAACCTGGCTAATTTTTCCTAATCTGAAACATAGCTGGTTAAGCCAAAAGAACCTGTCCTCACAATCTATTCACATTCCCTAAACTCACTTCCCTGTCCAAACTCAACTTATATTTCAGTATCCAGAACAAGCTGTCATCAATTTTGGAGAAATTCTCAAACAATTCATATTAGTTTCTACCCTCATTTGAATTCCAAAAAGGGAATATATTGCCCACAAATTTTTTCCCTTTATAACATACAATCTTTACAGTGCAGTCATCTAGCTGCTAACTGTTCATTTTACAAATTATTTGGACTTACATTCTAGTCACAGGAGAAAACATTTAGAAAGCACTTATGTGCCAGATACTTTTCTAGGTTCCTCACAGGTATTATTTTAATCCCCTCAACAACTTAAGACAATGGAGAAGTATTATTATCCTCATTATACATTTGTAAAAGCTGAGGCACAAAAACATTAAGAAAATTGCTCAAGGTTACACAGCTAAGCAAGGGGCATATAGTCTGATTCTATAATCTGTGCACATAGGCACCACACATATTGTGGTATTGTGGTCTTCCCCAACAAGGTTATAACCTGCCTATGGACAATGGCTTCTTCTCAACACTGTGCAGTACCTACAGGGTTGAGATCAGAGAGTTGGAAAGAACCTCAGAGATAATCAGTGTGAATACCAACCAATAAGGTTAATTGTAGTTGTTGTTGAACTAAATTTGGTAAATGACTTTAAAAATTCAGCTTAGTCCCACTACTATATTTTGTTAGTGTAAAACCAAAAACTCAAATCCACTGGCATCAAGTTAATTCTGACCAATAACAGCCATACAGGACAGAGGAGAACTGCCCCCATAGGGCTTCCAAGGCTGTAAATCTTTACAGAAGCACATTGCCTCATCTTCCTCCTGCAGAGCAGCTGGTGGGTTTGAACCACTGACCTTTGGTTAGCAGCACAATGCTTTAACCACAGTGCCACAAGAACTCCCTTTTGTAATTATAAACCATTTTCCAATTAGAATCTTATCCTACAGTGCCAATAGTTCATGATTTTACATTTACTATGTTATCTATTTTTATCCTGATTTGGAAGAAAAAACTTGAATTATTTTCTCTCTATAATTTTTGTAATCTACTTTTTATGTTGCCAAGACTTTGGAGATCTTATAAATATTCACCAATTCTTAACCTTTTAACGTAGTATGTTTGAGAAATTCCTTCATATGAAACACTATGCTCTCTACTTGAGAATACTTGTCCCCCAATTCTCAAATATAGTGATACCACCACAGTTTTATAATTCCTCTCGTAAAGCATTTATCCTCAAAACTGTCTCTTAATTGATGAATTAGGAAAAGTGGCAAGAGATGTAGAACACAATTAATATTGCTGTTAATTTCTGTGAATATGTATTTTGATCTAAATCAGTTTCTTAGCAAATCTGAGTAAAAAATTTTAAAGACGAAAGGAGACTTCATAAAAGTAAATGAGTAAAATTTAAATAATACTTAGTGTTTCTTTACTGAGGGCTGAACTTATGTGGCGTGAAAATACCTGGGGTTAAGGGAAGTAAGAATAAAGCTGGGAGAAGTTAAAATGTACACATATTCACACATTTTTTCAAAATTATAACACATTGAAGATATAACAGCTATACAAGGGTAGGTTAGGTACAGAGGCTACAGCAGAGTATGAAATACTCTATGATCAAAGGACTCCACATCTATAATCCACAATTTCAGAAAATTTATTTTAAAAATTTAGAAAAAAACTCCCATGGTTATTGATATTTCTTTTCTGATATAAATAATGATTTACACTACCCATGATATATTACAAGTTACTATTTTGATTGTCAAAAATAAGTAATTGTTGTGTACATGGGTATGAAAATACCTCTTAATGTTTTAAAATGAGTTTAGTGCCACCAAGTGGTTATAGTAAGCATGTTCAGAATTACCAAAAACAAAAGTATATAATCAGCCATTCATTCATTCAAATAATATTTATTGAGCACCTACTATGTGCCAGCCATTGTGCCAGATGTACATACAGTGAAAAAGACAGATGTGCTTACTGACCTGATAAAACTCTTATAAAAATCACCTTATATACATCTATTTGGGAGAATTTTAAGTTCAAGCTTATGTCACAAACAATTCATTGCTGTATGTTATTAAGTAGTCCCCAACTTAAAAAAATATATATATAGTTTACCATTTTAAAATAAAGTGGTGTAGTTCAACAATAGAAGACAGACTAGCATAGCAGTCACAAGTAGAGCTAACCCAGAACTTTAGAGACTTTGGTTTGAAATCCTTTGAGAGGGCATAAACCCTTTAGTTCATCAGGGCTCTTTCACTCTCTACTTCTAACTTACACTCCCTACTTCATAATTCCATTCATACATTCATGTTTGTCAGCTTGATCCTGAAAGCATTTCACTTTGCACCCTCTGGACTAACTTCTTCTCATGGCTTATACAAAAGAACATGGCAGGTACCCAAAGAATTAATATTAAAATTGCAGAAAAAATAAACTGCATATAAAAATTATAGTTTATCTTGATTGAGGCATAGCTATAAGAAGATTTAATAATAAAATTTTAATATTCATTGTAACTCAAAAAAAAAAAAAAAGGTTGACACTGCTTGGTCACAGCCAGCTACCCAGAGGGACTGAGTAGATGAAGCCTGTGGGCTCGGGACCATAGTGGCAGAGGACATCAAGCTCGATTGGCATAACATACTATACAAAACATTGTTCTACCTCCTACTTTGGTGACTAGTGACTGGGATCTTAAAAGCTTGCAAGCTGCCATCTAGATGCAGCGATGGGTCTTTCCCTGTCCAGAGCAAAGAAGAATGAAGAAAACCAAAAATTCACGGAAACAATCAGTTCTAGCGACTGGTATACCAACCGATCTGCAGCCTATACAACTATGAGACCAAGAAGAACTAGATGGTGCCCGGCTACCACTGTCAACCACTTGGAAGGGGATTTATGTAGGAGATCCTGGATAGAGAGGGAGAACAATGTGAAACAAAACTCAAAATCATTTGGAGGAAAAAAAAGGGGAGGATCAGGTTGGCTGGGCTGATAGAGCCTGGTGGAACCACTGAGACTATGGCCCCTAGCTGCTCTTCAGGTCTAGAACTGAACCCACACCTGTGGCTTCCAGCCAAACAAAAGACAAGCATATGAGCTGAACATTTACCTGAGGAGATACACTTCGTGGAGAGAACAATCATGGGAGAAAGAAGGGCTGCTTATGCACAGGGAGACAGCTCAAGGGGCAAGAGTCCATGGAGGGATGGACACAGGGAAGAGGTTAACTATGGGGAGGAAGTGGGAGGGGAGTTGTTGCATTGTGGTAAATTGTGGTCAATGTCATAAGACAAAGTGTATATGAGCTGCTGTATGGAAAGTGAATTCGCTTTGTAAATTTTCACCCAAATCACAATTTAAAAAAAAAGGGTGACAACTAACCTGGGGTCTTCTAAAGGAAACCAAATCGAAAACAAACGCACTGCCACCGAGTCAGATTCGACTCACAGTGACCCCTCCTTGGGTTTCCAAGGTGGTATCTCTATGGAAGTAGATTGCCCAACCTTCCTTCCAAGGAGTGGCTGGTGGGTTTGAACCGCCAGCCTTCTCGTTAGCAGTCAAATGCCTTAGGCACTACACCAAAGGAAAGGCATTATTAAATAAGTAAATAAATAACATAAATACCCTGCCCATGAAGAATATGTACATGAAAAAGAGATAAACAACAGAACACTGAAACAAAACACAATGAAGGAATAGGTGATCTTGGAGTGGAGTATCGGAGAAGGTTTCTCTATGAAAGTGAATTTCAGCAGGGCTTTGAAAGCTTGGTAGGACCCAGACAGCAAAGAAGGATATTCATTCTAGGAAGCAAAAAGGGTATGAACAAAGAAATAAATTCAAATGTTATGTACAAAAAACAGTAAGGCATTGGTTTATATTGGTTGTAGCTATAAGATAATTCAATACCTTGAAAATAACTGACTTTGAGAAGTCAAGAGTTTACATGAAGAGTGCAAAATTTCTTCTAGGGAAATAACATAATAAAAATGTTTCAGAAAGATATAGCTTAAAACAAATTAAAGGGAGGATTGAAGGTAGCTAAAACTACAAACAGGATCAGCTGGATTGCTAACCTAATACAGATATGAAATAAAGGGTGGTAAATTAATGACAGCACACAAGAATGAACAAATCTGTCTTGAAAGAAGTACAGCCAGAATGTTCCTTAGACACAGGGTGGCGAGACTTCATCTCAAGTACTTTGGACATTATCAGGAGGGATCAGTCCTTTGGAAGGATTTCATGCTTGGTAAAGTAGACAATCAGCAAAAAAGAGGAAGACTCTCAACAGATGGATTGAAACAGTAGCTGCAACAAAGGGCTCAAACATGGTAAGGACTGTGAGGATGGCAAAGAACCAGGCATTGTTTCATTCTCTTGTACAAACAACATGATGGGGTCACTATGAGTTGGAACCAACTCAATGACACCTAACAACAATAATAAATGAACAGAGTAAACAAAACCACTCACACAAATATGCAAGTCACAAATCTAGGAGTCAGGAACATAACTAAACAAAAGATTAAAAAGAGAATAAGGGAATACCAATAACCACCATATGAAACAATTTTGCAAACTGAAGCTGAAATGGAGAAACGTGTTTGTATATATCTTACAAGAATCAACTA